TGCACTGTGGGCCTCTCAGTCACATTTCAAAGCCATTATGAGGCAGTGTCTATATTATACTCCTGTTATCCCTGAGCTTTCAGAAGTGTTTTAGTAACCATTACTTATTTTCCATTCTTTGGGAAATTAAGGGAGAATCCTCAGGGGAGAAGTAGTAAAAGCAAGGGAAGCATCCTGGGGAAATGTAAGAGATGGTAAGCTGAGCTCCACAGCAGTAGCCATAATGGCCTGGCCAAGGTAGCTGGTGGGGGTGGTGGTCCCTTGTGAAACAAAATCATACTTTGGGGATTCCCAAGGAAATATGGATAAAGCCTACACACAATCACATTTTATTAGTAGAGCTCAGTGGCTTTAAAAATTGAAGTTCTATCACAAACACTAGGGCAGGCAAGGTCACGTTGGTTATATTGTACCTAAATTCATCTCTATTTTGCTGTAAATACCACGAGTGCTAAAAAATATCTCTTTTGAAGCAATTCATAATGTCCCCCATAACAATTCCAAATTGTGTTCCATGGAAGACTAGTTCTCCAGCATATTAATAGGAGTTACACAAAAGAGGTTTCCATAGTTAAACAAATTCAGGAAACAGCGAGATAAGCAAAGTTAAACAAGTTTATCACAGGATTTCTCAGAAACTTCATATTCTAATGTAAATTGTGAAGCTCTGAAAAATGTATATAAAAATACAGTTTTCTAAAACATATTTGACTTTGGGAATTTATTTTAAGCAAGTAGGCAAGAGCCAACACTCTGAAAAATAAACTTTGTAAAATACCGACATGGTACAATCTCTTTTAAGGTACCAATATTTGAAAATACAAGACAACCAAACTAGTTTTCTTTTCTTTGGAAATGACTGCACTAAAACTCGTTTTGACTTTTTCTAGCACCCCCAATTTTATATTCCCAGGTAGAAGTGGATAGCTGATACTTTCACTTAAAAATCTTATAAATAAATAAAACCAACCAATCTGGTGTTGCGTTCTAAAGATAGCAAAATGAAAAAATCAGCAGATGTCATTTAAAATATTTAGGCAACTTTATTTTCTTCACTCTTATTCTAAAGCCAGCATTATTATAAACCAGTTGATTTTTTTTTCTTAACCAAGCTAAACTTTAAAAAGAAACCTGTCATTTTAAATAAAGGAACAAAGTTTACAAATGTGAAATAAGCATTCGTAACTGCTCCTTGGGTACTTGGAAGTTTGCTGGTTTTGTTTTTTAAATATGAACCTTCCCTTCACTCCACACCCAAATCAAACACGCATTTAACTTGTTCAGTCTCTCTCTATAGCGCCCCACATTCGTACTCACTGCCAGCCTGCCTTACTTGAGTTCCTGCTCCATCTGAAACTTATTTTCACCATCTCTTAAAGGTCCAGCCCTGATAAACAATGATTCTACTACTACTCTGTCACTTAGTCTTGCTGATAGCAGCTCCTAACATCTTGGTTCCTTTATTTTTTTTCAAGACACCTACAGACTAGGAATGAGAGAAAATTAGTTGAGAATATTTTTTTTTAATTTTTATGTCTTATATTTCTATTCTTGAACCAGTTTCTTTTCCGTAGTATGTCCAATGTAAGGATGGGCTTAGTTAACAGTTTCTTTCAGATTCAACCCTGAACTCAGGAGAGTCATTCATTGGCTTTTGTAAGAAATATGAGAATTTCACTCATCTGGATATCTGTACCACATTTATTCCCCCAGTGTAGTCTGATCTAACAATAACAATTGATTTCCTTAAAAATCTGAAAGAATTGGAACAAGAGCACCTACCAGGGCAATTTTATAAAACGATATAGCCTTAAGACTGCCCTTGTAAGGGTTTACTTCACAATACTAAACATATTTAACCAAGGGAGTTCCCGCCCTGAGATGATCTCACACTCATACAGTGCCACGGTGTGCTTGCTGTCTTACGAAAAGAACAGATGTTATCAGTGTGAAGAGAGCTCACGAAAAGCAATCTGCATTTAAACGTTAAGTTAAATCACTACACCTAACTCATGCGCTAGCAGGGATGAGGGAAGACGTGGAGTAGGGCAAGGGTGACATTGCCACAGCCGTCTGAGAACAATTAGATGGTACACACTTTCTTTCCCAAATGTCATGCTGGAAAATACCTACATGAGAAGTTATTATTACCTCTGCTGTGGCATATTTTGAATACCATCCGTTGAACACTTACCAGGCCCAGCACCATACAAGGTTCTCTATCATAGAATCTGCTCTCAGCTGAATGAGGATGGTGGGGTCCTCGGTCCCCACAACTGTGCAGAGAGCAGTAGACTCGGAGTCTGCTGCCACTGAGAGCTCATGTTTGTGAGTGCGTCCTTTGCGTATTATGAATGGTCTTCTGCCAGGTCCCTATGTGGTCACTCCCTCATCCTCCCTCAGGTCTTTCACTCAAATTCCACCTCAGTGAAGACTTCTCTTTAAGATTGCAGCTCTGCCTC